TAAAACCTGGAAAAGTCAGATTTTCATGATATGTCACCTTTAAATCTACTACTTCGAGATGCCTAGACCTGCAAACATTGCAAAGGCTGAACAATTGTAATGTTTCTTTGGCAGCGCTGCACAAACTGCACTTCCGTTAACAGCGGAAAATGTTTGTCATCTGACGTGAAGCACTCCTCACATCAAGGTCAAATGATCCTTACTCCACAGGTCCTGCACTGATATTATTCCCAAATGACATGACTACAGTTGTAATCTTATTTCAATAATGCAAGTAAAAAAAAAAATAAAAAAAATCTATTTACTTTTTTTTAAATGAATGTTCCACGTTTTATTGTGTGGGTTTTATTGTTTATACCACCCATCAGTGCACTTCATTCCAAAGAAAATTTGGAGGAGAAAAAAAAAAAAAATGTGTCTTCCTTTTTTTATCTCAATGCAAAAACTTGTTTAGCCAGTAAAACATTTTCCTCTTTGGCTGACATCACGAATCCCTTGCCTTTAAACATCACAAACAATTCATTATGGGAAAAATCAATTCCTGTTCTACATTTTTTCTTTGATAACAGAAGTAAAATGGGTTGCGCACACTGTTTCATGTTGACATTAAAATATTGTTCCCATGTAAGCGGGCGGCAGCTGTAAGATGCATTGTAATGTAGTACAGAATGGGGCTGCACGATATATCGAAATTATCGAAATATCGCAAATGTAAATATCGCGATACGCATATCGCAACGGTGTGCGATATCCGAATCATTTTAATAATAGGCTACTTAAATTAAAACGTTGCAAAAGGTCAAAGTTTTAGTTCGACGCATATAGCAGAGAATAGCTTGACGTTACAAAGAGTTAAGTGCAATATGTTGCAGAAAACAACTCTTTGCCATCTCGTCTTGCTGTCTGACACACACCTGAAGCGCGCGCACAAGCCGCATCTCGCACAGCGTATCTTCAGTTCTGCTGCACACGGCAGAGAGATGCGTTTCAGACGGCGCGCCAACACCGAGTTGATTCGTCTTTCGCATCTCCTCCTTATGTTTGAACAGACACATACACACAGAATTATGTCAATAGTACCCGTCTCGACGATCATTCTCGTAAACGCAGAGATCTTATGTTTTAAATGAACGTAAACAGCTGAGAAAGAAATTGGATGTGTATTATACTGGATCCGTGCAGTCGGTTTTAAAGGGACAGCAGCCTATAAATACATGATGCTGAGCATGTCACTAATGTTAATCAAACAACAAAACAGCTATAACAAAGATTAATCTAAATTTCATTCATACAGTGAACACTATGCAGTCTTATTTTACACTTATTCAATTTCTGTACCTGAATACTACCGTTTATTTTATCTACGCTTGTAAATTGTGTATTTGTTCTTTTTCCTCCCTTTTTCTTTCTTTTTTTTACTGACTGTTCACTTGCCTTTAATCATGTTTGAACTTTCTCAGACTATAGTTTTTGCTGTGGTATATGAAGAAGTACTTAAAGTGTATGGAAAGCAAAGTTACAATGATATAAAATTAGTGTCATTCATTCACTAATGTTAATCAAACAACAAAACAGCTATAACAAAGATTAATCTAAATTTCATTCATACAGTGAACACTATGCAGTCTTATTTTACACTTATTCAATTTCTGTACCTGAATACTACCGTTTATTTTATCTACGCTTGTAAATTGTGTATTTGTTCTTTTTCCTCCCTTTTTCTTTCTTTTTTTACTGACTGTTCACTTGCCTTTAATCATGTTTGAACTTTCTCAGACTATAGTTTTTGCTGTGGTATATGAAGAAATTTTTTTTGTTTGTATGTTGTACATTTTCTGATTTGTGACATTACTTTTTATGTAATACTAAAACACTGCTGGTCACTTTCAGAAGTTGTAGTGATTCTTTCTTTTCCAAGAAAGAATGTGAAACAAATTGGTTATATCATTTTCATTTTTAAATATTTTAAAATATAATTGAAATAGATTTTTCACACTTTAAGCAATATCGTATCGCATATCGAATATCGCATTTTTTAACAAGGTATCGCATATAGCTTTTTTTTTTCTATATCGCACAGCCCTACTACAGAAACAGAGTACAGATGTAATTAAAAGGACAATTCACTCAAAAATGATATTTGTTTATCTTCAAAATAAAGACATTATAATGAAATCTGAGAGACTGCTGTCCCTCTTTTGAAAGTCCATTTACTCAAAACGTATTGCCATATGAATCCGTTTAATCTATGTCTAAAGAGAAACAATCACTTTCAAGTCTTATGGATTTGAAACAACATAACGGTGAGTAACTGATGACAGAATTTTCATTTTTGGCTTAACTAATCCCCTTAAGGACAATTAATTCATTAATTCTTCCCATTTTTTAAATAATTTGTCACAGAGAAAGTAGTATAAAAAATGAGACTACAGTACATGATCACTACTTCACAGGGGTTTTTCTAGTAGTGCCATATTAATTTGCCAAATCACACATTTGCATACTGAGGTCATCTTCACCCTGGATGTGAAAGCAGAGGTGCATTTTGAAAGAACTGAGATCTCAACACTCAAACTGCCAGTTCATTGCGTCTCATCAAATTGTTCCATTCAGAATTCTGAAATGCTGGAGACTGTCATTTGAGCAATCTTCAATGGACAGATTTTCCTTCCGTCAGGTGCAAAACAAGTCTGTAACAAGCGCAACATATCAAACACACCCGCAGCTTCACGTCTCAGATACGATCAAGGCGGCAAATTGTCTGCGCTTCCTTACAAACACAAATCTTCCTGGCTTGGGAGGCACACCTTTGGTATTGCACAGCAAACAAACATAATTGGCTAATCTAATCGCATTGCTTTCTGCATTTCTGTTTACTTGTGGCTAAGCGTCTCTATGAAGGCCAGGGCTATGTGACCGTGAATGCCACATTGTTCAGGGCCCCTCACAGATGCAATCTGCACAGACGTCGCTCGGCCTCTCTCCAGCTCCGGTGACAGGCTGTTGAGTCTGAGGTGTACGCGAACGCAAAAGAGAGCCTCCATCACGCTTCACATGCAGCCCTGATAGAGTGGAGTCAGTGAGCTGTACTATCTGCCCATCAGCGGCCCCGGCTCCCATTCAGCCCATTATGCATGGAAATGATGGTTCGTTTCAGTCCAAAAGGAAGACCAGAGAATGGCTAATGCGAGAGGACTGCATTCAGCAAACAATGCCAGCGACAGAACCCAAGCCTCAAGCTCTCAATCTGGACCTGAACTCAATAGACAGGTTAAAGGAATCCTTACGATTGAATTTCAAGAGATGCACTGAGTTTAGACTGTTTAAGGCCCTCATTTCAAACAATACATTTTAAATCATGTTTAGCCTGTCAGTTGATTAACACTCTTATTAACGAGTCTTACAAATGCTTTTTTTCTCTCGAGTATGGTTATTTTTTTCTGTGCACCAAACCAAACATAATGCAGTTATTATCCAACATCAAATAAAGATATATAAATTCACATTACGACCCGAAAACGTAAGAACTTTAAATAAAAGCGGATTTATTTTATGAATGTTGCACAAACAAGATGCATATTTCTTGCCGATCTTCCGAGTTTTAACATAGATATTTAAAAAAAGTTAGTAACTAACAGATACGTTGCTGAATTCATTAAACACACTAGGGGGAAATAGTCTAACGTTTTGGTACCTGACAGGTTTGTTACCGGATAAGCCTAAATTCTTTTGTTAAACTTTCTAATGGAAATCTTGAGCATAATAGACAAGCACACGACATGCATGTGTGACTATTTAGTGACTGTAACTAGAACCATTTCATGTTCATAAAATCAACATATAGTGACACAATTACTTAAAACAAGAATGTTAAAATACCAAAACATTACTTTTTTTTAGACGTTTCACAAGGGCAAATATACTTGTACTCACCTCTAGCACAGTCTGTCATGAAAATAATGTCAAACATGAAGAAAACGATCCAAAAAAGTTCCATGATGTCCCTATTAAGGCTCTCTGGTTCTTCAATCTATGAAAGAAATAGAGCTGTTAGTGAGAACAAGGACTGGTGGATTACTCTGAAACACTTATGAACTTATGTTGCACTTGTGTAAATGTGTGTAGGATTGAATTACATTTCTAACGCCAATTAAGTTGTCTTATAAAAAAAAAAAGCAATGCTTCCATTAAATCATAATACAGCACAACCTGCAACAGAGATATTTTACTCGTGAAATAAGCTGTATGTGCATAAAAAGCGGTTCTAAGTGGGTAAAAGGTACTTTTTAAACCATGCAATAAAATATTCAAAGTCAAACATGCGAGACTTACCAACGTTCATAAAGCTGTTCCTCGCGACTGATAGATAAAATATCATGCTTACATCCTCCGGACGATTCGTGCCTATATAAACATCCAGCGAATTCAAGCGCTTTAATTATCACGCGCAGCTGTGTTCCTGAACGCTCTGGCGCGACACTTCTTAATACACGCGCTGATTGCTTGCTGTAGACTTCTGTAACGTTAGATGACAGTCACCGCGCGCTATATCGCGCAAGCAGCTCAAATACCATGGACTTTATCTCCATAGATTCTTCAGAAAACAAAACACACCCCCGACTATTTTTACAGCACCTGCATTTGTATCAAAGCGTTGTTTTAAACACCGTTAGCTAAATATGTCGCCGTCCAGACACGCAATATACACACACACACACACACACACACACACACACACACACACACACACACACACACACACACACACACA